CCCCCCCAGCACTCTGTGCCCCTCACCCAGCTTAGCTGGCCCGGAGCTTTCTTCCTCCTCCTCCTCTTCTTCCTCCTCTTCTGCCCCACCAGAGGAGCGTTGACGTGCTCCGTGACACCAGGTGCCATCAACCATGGCCAGGTACCACCAGACATCACCAGGAACCACCAGCACTGTTGGCATCTCCAGGTCATGGCACCAGACACCACCGGGTACCACCAGACACCACCATGCCAACCAGCACTGTTGGCATCTCCAGATCATGGCACCAGACATCACTGGGTACCACCAGACATCACCAGGAATGACCGGACACCACCGGGTACCACCAGCCACCACTGTGCCACCAGCACTGTTGGCATCTCCAGGTCATGGCACCAGACATCACTGGGTACCACCAGACATCACCAGGAACCACCAGACACCACCAGGTACCACCAGACACCACCGTGCCACCAGCACTGTTGGCATCTCCAGGTCATGGCACCAGACATCACTGGGTACCACTAGACACCACTGGGTACCACCGGACACCACCACTTTTGGCATCTCCAGGTCACGGCACCAGACATCACTGGGTACCACTAGACACCACTGGGTACCACCGGACACCACCACTTTTGGCATCTCCAGGTCACGGCACCACTTGGCAGAGGCCGGTGACCTGGGGCAGAAGGGACCCTCCATGGGCATGGTCTTACTCTACAGTCTCCAAACCTGCCCTCAAATCTGGGTGCACAAGCCCACCTCAGTCCTGCTCCCCACAGCCCCAGCCCTGGGGGTCTTCTCCCACGTTCAAGGGGCTCAAGCTCCAGCCATGAACCTTGAGCCCCTTGATGGGGCTCATCACACCATGATGTCTGGTGGTACCCAGTGATGTCCGATGCCGTGACCTGGAGATGCCAACAGTGCTGGTGGCACAGTGGTGTTTGGTGGTACCCAGTGGTGTCTGGTGGTACCCAGTGGTGTCCGGTGGTTCCTGGTGATGTCTGGTAGTTCCTGGTGATGTCTGGTGCCGTGACCTGGAGATGCCAATGGTGCTGGTGGCACAGTGGTGTCCGGTGGTACCCAGTGGTGTCTGGTGGTACCCAGTGATGTCCGATGCCGTGACCTGGAGATGCCAACAGTGCTGGTGACACAGTGGTGTCTGGTGGTACCTGGTGGTGTCTGGTGGTTCCTGGTGATGTCTGATGCCGTGACCTGGAGATGCCAACAGTGCTGATGGCGCGGTGGTGTCTGGTGGTACCCAGTGGTGTCTGGTGATGTCTGGTGGTTCCTGGTGATGTCTGGTGGTTCCTGGTGATGTCTGGTGGTGTGACCTGGAGATGCCAACAGTGCTGGTGGCATGGTGGTGTCCGGTGGTACCCAGTGGTCTCTGGTGGTACCCAGTGATGTCTGGTACCGTGACCTGGAGATGCCAACGGTGCTGGTGGCACGGTGGTGTTTGGTGGTACCCAAGCTCCGGATGGATTTGGGCTGGAAATCACTGATCCACAGCAGGTCAGACCCATGTCCCTCACTCCAGCCACAAATTCATCTCAACTTCCTTCACCACCAGTTCCTCCAGCACTGACCGGCCGGTTAAAAGACCCCAAAAAAGGCTTTTTTTTTGGTTTTTTTTTTAACACTGAAAACAGGAGCAAAACCAGCCCAACGCCTCCCTCCTCCCAAACCGCCCCGGCATTTTGCTGCTTAAAGGAAAAAAAAAAAAAAAAAAAGCCCCTTAAAATCCAAAGTTTCTTTTTATTTCATCCCCTCCCAGGCAGAAAACACCAAGTGCCACGAGTTTTTCCACACCAAACCACACTCTCACCCACGCCACCTCCCAGCCAGACCCCACGACCCACCCGAAGAAGGACAATTTAAATATATCCCCTTAAAAAAAAAAATTAAAAAATCACAAATACCAACCCCCCCCTCGCCAGCACCGTGCCGAAAGGGGGGGATCCCATATAAATACAGTGCAATAATTAACACAGATTCTGCAATGGCATAATTAAAAAGCCGTATCCAGCCCCGTATCCGGGGTCTTGTCCCCGCGCTGCTTCCCAAGCCCCTCTCCACAGGTGATGCTCCAGCCACCAGTTGCTAGCATCCCTCCTCCCAGTACGCTCCAGTTTAGATACCCCCCCCCTCTCCCAGTACCAATAGCTCTGAGGCTGGAGGGAACTGGTACAGACTGGGGGGAACCACCAGCACTGTTGGCATCTCCAGGTCATGGCACCAGACACCACCGGGTACCACCAGACACCACCATGCCAACCAGCACTGTTGGCATCTCCAGATCATGGCACCAGACATCACTGGGTACCACCAGACATCACCAGGAATGACCGGACACCACCGGGTACCACCAGCCACCACTGTGCCACCAGCACTGTTGGCATCTCCAGGTCATGGCACCAGACATCACTGGGTACCACCAGACATCACCAGGAACCACCAGACACCACCAGGTACCACCAGACACCACCGTGCCACCAGCACTGTTGGCATCTCCAGGTCATGGCACCAGACATCACTGGGTACCACTAGACACCACTGGGTACCACCGGACACCACCACTTTTGGCATCTCCAGGTCACGGCACCAGACATCACTGGGTACCACCAGACATCACCAGGAACCACCAGACACCACTGGGTACCACCAGACATCACCATGCCACCAGCACCGTTGGCATCTCCAGGTCACGGCACCACTTGGCAGAGGCCGGTGACCTGGGGCAGAAGGGACCCTCCATGGGCATGGTCTTACTCTACAGTCTCCAAACCTGCCCTCAAATCTGGGTGCACAAGCCCACCTCAGTCCTGCTCCCCACAGCCCCAGCCCTGGGGGTCTTCTCCCACGTTCAAGGGGCTCAAGCTCCAGCCATGAACCTTGAGCCCCTTGATGGGGCTCATCACACCATGATGTCTGGTGGTACCCAGTGATGTCCGATGCCGTGACCTGGAGATGCCAACAGTGCTGGTGGCACAGTGGTGTTTGGTGGTACCCAGTGGTGTCTGGTGGTACCCAGTGGTGTCCGGTGGTTCCTGGTGATGTCTGGTAGTTCCTGGTGATGTCTGGTGCCGTGACCTGGAGATGCCAACGGTGCTGGTGGCACAGTGGTGTCCGGTGGTACCCAGTGGTGTCTGGTGGTACCCAGTGATGTCCGATGCCGTGACCTGGAGATGCCAACAGTGCTGGTGACACAGTGGTGTCTGGTGGTACCTGGTGGTGTCTGGTGGTTCCTGGTGATGTCTGATGCCGTGACCTGGAGATGCCAACAGTGCTGATGGCGCGGTGGTGTCTGGTGGTACCCAGTGGTGTCTGGTGATGTCTGGTGGTTCCTGGTGATGTCTGGTGGTTCCTGGTGATGTCTGGTGGTGTGACCTGGAGATGCCAACAGTGCTGGTGGCATGGTGGTGTCCGGTGGTACCCAGTGGTCTCTGGTGGTACCCAGTGATGTCTGGTACCGTGACCTGGAGATGCCAACGGTGCTGGTGGCACGGTGGTGTTTGGTGGTACCCAAGCTCCGGATGGATTTGGGCTGGAAATCACTGATCCACAGCAGGTCAGACCCATGTCCCTCACTCCAGCCACAAATTCATCTCAACTTCCTTCACCACCAGTTCCTCCAGCACTGACCGGCCGGTTAAAAGACCCCAAAAAAGGCTTTTTTTTTGTTTTTTTTTTTAACACTGAAAACAGGAGCAAAACCAGCCCAACGCCTCCCTCCTCCCAAACCGCCCCGGCATTTTGCTGCTTAAAGGAAAAAAAAAGAAAAAAAGCCCCTTAAAATCCAAAGTTTCTTTTTATTTCATCCCCTCCCAGGCAGAAAACACCAAGTGCCACGAGTTTTTCCACACCAAACCACACTCTCACCCACGCCACCTCCCAGCCAGACCCCACGACCCACCCGAAGAAGGACAATTTAAATATATCCCCTTAAAAAAAAAAATTAAAAAATCACAAATACCAACCCCCCCCTCGCCAGCACCGTGCCGAAAGGGGGGGATCCCATATAAATACAGTGCAATAATTAACACAGATTCTGCAATGGCATAATTAAAAAGCCGTATCCAGCCCCGTATCCGGGGTCTTGTCCCCGCGCTGCTTCCCAAGCCCCTCTCCACAGGTGATGCTCCAGCCACCAGTTGCTAGCATCCCTCCTCCCAGTACGCTCCAGTTTAGATACCCCCCCCCTCTCCCAGTACCAATAGCTCTGAGGCTGGAGGGAACTGGTACAGACTGGGGGGAGAGGGGTTTGCAGCCCCCCCAGGAAATATGGCTCCGTATCCTGGACAGGGATTTGCTGGAGCCACCAATTTTGGATTCCAGCTGCCTTGTGGGGGGGGGGGAAAAACACCACTTGAAACGACCCATCGACACCAAAAAAAACCCAGTCTAACTGGGGAGCAACTGGAGTGGTCCCACAATACGACATCCCCCCAGTATGGCCCGTTCTAGGCAGGGGTTTGCCACCCAGGGGTGCCCCTAAAGCCCCCCAAGTCTAGGGGGATGGGGGTTATATTGGGGACAGGACCTTCATGGATCCTTCTGAGGGGCTCACACCTCCTCAGGGTGCCCCCGGAGCCCTGCGAGGTGACAATCACACCCCCCGGGTGACAACCACAGCCCCCCGGGTGACAACCAAGCCAGGAGAGCGAGGAGAAGCCACCCAGAGGTGGACACCACGAGCCCTCCTCCATCACCCTCAGAAAACCCAGCACCCCCCTGACGCACCCCACAATCTCCGGCCACCCCGCAGAGACCCCACGCTCTCAGGACACAAATGACCGGAGGGGACAACGGCAAAGGGGGGGTGCACTCAGTGATTCAAGAGGTCCCCCAGGTCGTACGCCTCGAAGAGGTCACTGACACCTTCGCCCTCCAGCCCCCAGAGATAGTCATCCTGGTCCAGGGGGGGCGAGAAGGTGACGAAGGCTCCTGAGTCCAGGTGGGAGGGGGTGCAGGGCAGCTGGTCCTCCGTCTGCTGCAGGAGGTGGGGGGGTGACCCCAAAAGCCCGGCCTCCACCTCCAGCAACGAGCTGGGCCCCCCCGGGACGGTGAGAGGCAGAGATGGGGGTGAGGAAGATGTCCCTGTGCCCCCCCCCCAGGTCTGGGGGACAGCGTGGGGTGGCTGTGGGGCTGGCCCGGGGCTGTGTGGAAGGGAAGGGGGTATGGCATGGTCCTGTGGGGTGGTGGTGGCAGTGGGGGGGACATCGTGGTCCTTGGTGGGGCTCTCCTCCGTGATCTCCTCCGGGCAGAGGTACACCTCGATGGGGCCGTTGGTGCTCTTCAGGTGGAGCTGGAAGTTGTCCTGGGGGGGGCAGAGCAAGGGTCAAGGAGGGGGGGACCCAGAAGGGCACCCCATATCCCACCCCGCTCCCCCCAACCCATGTGGGGTCAAGGTGAAACAGCCCCATGGAGACACCCCAAAACCACCCAGGTCCATGCTGGGCTGCACCCTTGGGATGTCCCAGGTGAAGCCATCAAGGATGGTGTGGATGCAGCAGCACCCACACCCCAGCACCCATATCCCAACACCCGCACCCCAGCACCCACACCCCAGCACCCACACCCCAGCACCCACACCCCAGCACCCACCCCGGTCCCAGCCCCCCCACACACCTCGCTGAAGTCCGGCACCTCCATCTGAGTCTCTGGAGGAGCCTTCACGGCGATCACCGTCTGCTCCTGGAAGTTGCTGATGGCACGGAGGTCCTGGTAGGTGACATAGGCCAGCGTGGACGGGGACAAGGTATAGGAAAAAGAAGGGCTGAGAGTGGGGTGGCTCAACCCCCCCCATCCCATCAGAGACATCTGAACATCCCCCACCAGCCCAGGAGAAGTCAACTGAAGAAATGGCTCAGATGGGTCCTCAAGACCTTCTCCCCCGTCCCCAACACCCCGTCCTCCCTCCCCATCTCCCCCAGCAAGGATATCTGTGGTTGGCTTCGTCCTCAGCCAGCTGCCGGAGCTGCAGGTCACAGTCCTGCAGGACCTGGTCCAGTGTCCTCTCCATCCTGGCCAGCTCGGCCAGCTCCCCCCGCAGCGCCTGCTGCTTCGCCGTCACCGCCACGTCCTCAAAGATCCCCGTCCCCCTGCCAACGGAGATGACACCTGAGTGACAGCACACCTCACATGTCCCCTAGCTTCCTGTCCCCCCACCCTGCCCCGTCCCCATGTCCCATTGTCCACCCCTCCCAACATCACTTACATCCACTGGATGTGGTTCTTGGACTTCTTGCGGATGAGCTGGATGCCCTCCAGCACGTTGGTGATGTCGTAGATGCGCCGTTTCTGGACCTCCAGCACCTCGGCCGCCCGGTTGAGATCCACCACGCCGTCGGAGGACTCGTTCAGCAAACGGATGAATTTTTTGGTGAGCAACCCCAGCGAGGTGTCATAGCGGGTCTTCTCCCCGGGAGACTTGGGGGCTGTGGGGAAACAAGACCGCCCCGTCCTCTCCTTAGTGTGGGACACATGATGGAGGTGACACAAGAGGTGCCCCCATCCTCTCCTTAGTGTGGGATCTGATGGAGGTGACACGAGAGATGCCCCCATCCTCTCCGTAGTGTGGGACATGTGATGGAGGTGACACAAGAGATGCCCCTATCCTCTCCTTAGTGTGGGATGTGTGATGGAGGTGACACAAGAGACCCTCCCATCCTCTCCTTAGTGTGGGACACATGATGGAGGAGATACGAGAGATGCCCCCATCCTCTCCTTAGTGTGGGATGTGTGACGAGGGTGACGTGAGGGACCTCCTCATACTTTCCTTAGTCTGGGACACGATGGTGGTGACATGAGAGACCTCCCCATCCTCTCCTTAGTCTGGGACACGATGGAGGTGACACAAAAGACCCCCCCATCCTCTCCTTAGTGTGGGATGTGTGATGGAGGTGACACAAGAGATGCCCCTATCCTCTCCTTAGTGTGGGATGTGTGATGGAGGTGACACAAGAGACCCTCCCATCCTCTCCTTAGTGTGGGACACGTGATGGAGGTGAGACAGAGATGCCTCCATCCTCTCCTTAGTGTGGGATGAGTGATGGGGGTGACGTGAGGGACCTCCCCATAATTTCCTTAGTCTGGGACACGATGGAGGTGACACAAGAGACGCCCCTATCCTCTCCTTGGTCTGGGATACATGATGAAGGTGACACAAGAGACCCTCCTGTCCTCTCCTTAGTGTGGGATATGTAATGGGCGTGACATGAGAGACCCCCCCCATCCTCTCCTTAGTGTGGGACACGTGATGGAGGTGACATGAGAGACCCCCCCATCCTCTCCTTAGTGTGAGATGTGTGACGGGGGTGACATGAGGGACCTCGTGTGATGGAGGTGACACGAGAGGTGCCCCCATCCTCTCCTTAGTGTGGGATATGTAATGGGCGTGACATGAGGGACCTCCCCATCCTTTCCTTAGTCTGAGACGTGATGGAGGTGACACGAGAGATGCCCCCATCCTCTCCTTAGTGTGGGATATGTAATGGGCGTGACATGAGAGACCCCCCCCATCCTCTCCTTAGTGTGGGACACGTGATGGAGGTGACGCGAGAGACCCTCCCATCCTCTCCTTAGTGTGGGATGTGTGACGGGGGTGACATGAGGGACCTCTCCATACTTTCCTTAGTCTGGGACACGATGGAGGTGACACGAGAGACCCCCCCAACCTCTCCTTAGCCTGCGCCATGTGATGGAGGTGACACAGGGCTGGACGCACTGGGGACATCCAACACCAGACAGCCCCTAACCTGGCAGAAAAATAACCCCAAAATACCACCCCCCCAGGAGTTTTCTGCCAACGCAATGAGTTCAACCAACTCAAGGAGCTGCTGAGCAGCAGCAAGGAGGGGCTGAGGAGCAGGCACTGCTCCCACGGGGGACCTCAGGGGACCTCAGGTCACTTGGGGTGGTGCTAGAGGGGACACCACAGCAGTATTAAGAGGGGGAGAGAAACGGGGGCTGCCCCACACCCCCCCTCCCTCCATCTCCCCGGGACACGTGATGGAGGTGACATGAGAGACCCCCCCATCCTCTCCTTAGTGTGAGATGTGTGACGGGGGTGACATGAGGGACCTCCCCATACTTTCCTTAGTCTGGGACACAATGGAGGTGACATGAGAGACCACCCCATCCTCTCCTTAGCCTGCGCCATGTGATGGAGGTGACACAGGGCTGGACGCACTGGGGACATCCAACACCAGACAGCCCCTAACCTGGCAGAAAAATAACCCCAAAATACCACCCCCCCAGGAGTTTTCTGCCAACGCAATGAGTTCAACCAACTCAAGGAGCTGCTGAGCAGCAGCAAGGAGGGGCTGAGGAGCAGGCACTGCTCCCATGGGGGACCTCAGGGGACCTCAGGTCACTTGGGGTGGTGCTAGAGGGGACACCACAGCAGTATTAAGAGGGGGAGAGAAACGGGGGCTGCCCCACACCCCCCCTCCCTCCATCTCCCC